ATGCTTTAATATCAATTTCACATTCATAATGAAAGTAACATTTTACCCTTAGACCCACAGTCATTTAAAAGTTTAGAAAATCAAAATATCGGCCTTACCATTATTCCAACTGACCACTTGATTCGTATTGTGAAACCAGTACAGTGTAAAATCTGTGAGAGCACAAATATACATTTAAGAGAAATTACTAAAAATGGATTTGAACAGATATTCCGTTTTACTTGTTTGGCTTGTAATACGGTATTTGTTTTTAGAACATGTCCAAGGAATCTTAAATTGAATAGACATATTATTCAATCATTTGAACTCTCGAACTCTACCTATGAATCATTTAAAACATTTACAACCCTTGTCGGATTGCCAATAATTAATAAGAAATCATATTATCAAGCAACAAACAAGTTATGGAGCAGTAGTAGTCAAGTATTAAATCAAGAAATGGACAAGGAATTGGAAAAGATTGCAAATCAGAAAATGAAACAAGTGCTTGGTTCTTTAATTTCTGCATTTGAACTGGGAAGAGAATGTTGTAGAGTTGCGAGGAACTATTCAACGTTAGTATTTCGACAAATTGTAAACAATAAAATTGAGTTGATAAATAATTTTATGCTCAAAAAAATTAAGTATATTGAAATGGTTCAAACACCAAGCAAGGCGAATAAAGTCAATGACCTAAAAGGCAGCATTTCTGAGCAACATACCTCATCCTTTGGATGAAGAATATGTTGAGTGAGCTTTTACCCATTGGTTTATCAACGATTGTTTTATTGTTTCTTTTGGAGAAATATTTTAAAACCACAAAATAATAAAATAATAAATTAAGACAAATGGATTAAAAGTTCAAGGATTGAGACACCATTTGGTGAATCAACCTTGGAACCTGCTTTAAAGGATATAAATCTTTATTTAGCAGGTCCCTAGAAATTAAAGTGTTTTTAAAACCACAAAATAATAAAATGATAAATTAAGACAAATGGATTAAAAGCTCAAGGATTGAGACACCATTTGGTGAATCAACCTTGGAACCTGCTTTAAAAGGATATAAATCTTTATTTAGCAGGTCCCTAGAAATTAAAGTCTCAAAATTATGAAAAACTTATCGATAGTTTTGAAGCTAAAGATAAGAAAAAACATAGAGTATGTGAATAAATTGTAAAACCTGTTCATAAAATCACCATTAGTATATAAAAATCTATATGAATTTTCTGAAACAAATGGAATGAAAAATAAAATGATTCGAATCTATTAGAAACTGTCATCCAAAAAATAAGTTAGTGAATAAATGTAAAAATTGCACATCTTGAATGTACACAGCTGCACTCTGAAATTAGCCCACTTACTGGATGCTAATGAGCGAAAAAGGCTGAAAAATTGTAAATACTAATTAAGGGTGGGTATGGGTGGGACTTTGCCTTAATGATGACATGATGTTGAGACTATTTTTTGAGCATAATTTTTAAAATAATATTTTAATAATTTTGTATAAAAACACTAGTTCTTCACCATGTTCAGAACTCCCAGTTCCGGCATTGATTTACTCCTTCATTCATGATGCAATATTTTTGGATATCAGTTGATGCAAGATATTCATCTAGGAGAAATGTTTACGAATGTACTCTTGTGGTATTCGAAACAAAGGCAAAAAAAACAATTGAACGATCACACGTTATCAAGAAAAGAGCATCTAATAGAAAAAGTGCCTTACAATGGTTTATGGGAGCCTCTAAATTAATGGAGCCAGAAGCATGTCGTTTAGCAATTACATCTTTGAAACACAAGTCATTTCCAGTAATGGGTTATGGTATTTTACATTTCAAAATTGGCTCTTTTGTTCATGACAAAGACTCAACTGTGGCAGCAGTCATCAAAAAATTAGAACCAACAGCATTAGAAAAGTTAGATCCAAATCATGTAATCAAAAATCTGAGCAAGGAAGTAGAAGAAAAAGCACCCCGTATTGCCAGTATTATTGTATCATCCTTTAGGAAAGCTCTAAAATTAGCCAACACCACCACTAATTCAAATGAGAAACTCCAAGCATTATTGAAAGCTTATCCACAACATTTACAAAATAACCATTCTCTGTGCGATTCAGGTTGTCCACACACAATTAAACCAGAAAAATTGATCACTAAAGAGGAAGCACAAGTTGTTAAAGAAATATTTGACAAACGAATCAAATATAGTCACAAATTTTGTGATATTGCATGCAATAGCCAAAACAATGAGTCCATACATAGTACTATTTGTCATACAACACCAAAGACATTAGATTTCAGTCGAAATTATTGTGGAAGAGCTGATCTGGCAATAGGTGAACGATTGCTTGGAAAATTTGCACAATTAAGAAAAATTCAAAGATTTATTGGTAGTCTCTTCGTGATTCCAAAAGAGCAGGCCATCAAGTTAGATACTCAATATCATCAGGATAAAATAAGGAAACAGTCTAAAGCTTATAAGGAAAGAAGAGTGGAGCTTCGGAAAACAAAACTTAAGGTAAAAGAATCTCCACAGCCAAAGGGAACAATTGGAAGTTGCACATGTTCGAAGGGTTCGACATGTACAAAAGCTTGTCCATGCAGAAAAGCCGGGAAATCATGTACTTCCAAATGCTCTTGTTCTCTTACCAAATGTCAAACAAAAGTTTGACTTGTAATAATAGATGATTTTTTATTAAAATTGCTAAATTTGTAATTTTGCCAATAATAGATATTCGAATATTTGTAAACCAACATTTGCACTTCCAATTAAAATAGGTAGACCGCCACCTTAAGGGGTAAATAAATGTAATCTGAACAGATAAATGAATTTTCGAGGAATTATGATGAAAAGGATGTAGTGAGAATGGGATTTGATAAAGAGAAGATAAGTAAAAAACATGATGAGGAGTATGATGAAGAATAATAGGGAAATGATTTTTCTAACATAGATAAATATAATTTTTGTTCACATATATATATATATATATATATATTCACCCAATAATTTATCAAAAAAATAAAATACAAAAAATCAATTCTCATATAACAACAAAATAAATTGTGAATATATACAAAAATTAAATTCAAACTCGAATTTAGATCGAGAAACACACTAAACCACCAAACGGTACTACTAAGATAAGAATTACAATATGATGCATGCAATGTATGAGTGCACAATAGATAACCTCGTCAAGCTGTTGGCCATTACATTATCTGTATGTTTATTGATAGTCATGGTTATTTTCTCTGTCTACCAGTTTAAACTCAAAGGAATGGAGTTTGTTAGTTCTCTCATAGTGGGTGCTCATGTTTCCATTCAGTTTTGGATGGATACTCATGAAGAAAGTTATAGTTCAGAAGTTTCTAAAACGGTTGAAAAATACTGCGCAGAAACCAACCATCATCATGATCAGATATTAAAATCCATCTAATCAATCCAAGCCAATCTCCCATGTGGCATTTGAAAATAAATATGAATTTCTTATAATCCTTTCTGAGCTCAATGACAGAAAGTTGCTCCCAACGCTTTTCCAAGAATATGCCAAGTGCTCACCCTTGAACATGTGGTTTTGTTCAAAGAACACCTTATCAAATTTGCTTTCTTTCTCGCCCTTTGTCATTAATTAAGGCACTCAATAATGGAAACCTTTTTTCAAGTGTTGTATTTTATCATGTCAAGTACTTGGGAAACTCGTTTGATGTAGTGGAAGATCCACTAGTAATTCAGTAAGTAACAAATCTATCTAATTTGTAACCCAGCATTTCTGAAAATGTCGAATTCATTGTAAAGAAATTAAACCACATTCAAACTTAATGAATCGTTCCTGATGCCATCCCAGCTTGATATGGAATTAAGTAATACCAATAAGGTGATTTTCAAGGCACTCTATACTGACATCCAACC